TTTTTTTTCGGAATGGATTGTAATTTCAACCTTGTCTTGATCCCATCAACACTGTATGGATGATTTGAAATCGTGTTTCGAACATTAATTGGTAGCTAATTTTACTTTTGGAAATTCAAGCATCAGTCATTACATCACCAAAGATCAGGAGTGACTCTAGTTCTCATTCACGAAATAGCACCAGTTTAGAAACCCACATATATGGCACACGATATTGTGGTCCTATTCAATGGCAAATTTAGGTTAGCTTAATCGAGTAGAATCATCTCCAAAATATGATTTGCTAGAAGCCTGGCTTGTTTTGAGAGTCACATCTGCCATTTGACCATCCTATGCTCGTGGATGTGTGAAGGAAAGGTGATGCATCGTCACGTCACGCACGACCAGGGTTCGGTTCTCGCTAAGGCGTTGATAAGACCCAGAAAAAAGCCTTTCAGAGGGTGAGGCAAAGATGGGCCATTTTAGTGGTTTTATTGTGTGATACCAATTTGTTTGTCAGAGCATTATCTCAATTGACCTATTGCACTAAACTTAAAATACGGTAAGCTTCGAACGATCACTATTCGTGTTTCTGGGAACCAAAATTTACAAAAATATGCTCGTCCTAAGTCGTTCAATGTATTTAAAAGACTGAAGAAGGACATTTTACTATTATTTTAAGGGCAGATCCCACGATGCTGTTGAATTTCTCCTATCCTTGCCTCCCAAAGGGTCTTTTCGTCCAAACAGGACTACAATTTCGGCATCGTCTAGGCCTCATTAGTACCCTAACTTGGCTCAAAACCAGGTTATGTGGTCTGTGCCGACATGCTACCAATTCGCTACATAAGCAGATGCTAGTGGGTCATAGGGCAGGTGTGAATTGCCAAATCAACTTTACAATGGTATGGTCGATGAGATGAGCAGTTATTTGTCATCACAATCGACAGTGTTAAGCAGTTGCTTAGTGATTATATTTCAAAATTATCAAAAATGCTTAAATATCATCCGATATTTTTGAAACATGCTCTTATTAGCGTGTAAATTTTCCATTGTCGTTCCCTAAATCACCAATAGCAATTTAGGTTGACTAAGTACTTATTAAAAGATCAGTGAAGGTTCCATAACAACGCATTTAGAACTAAAATTTATCCTCAGTTCATTTATAGCATAATATGCCTCTTTGTCATCTTTTTTTCTGGATCATATTTGAGCAGACCTAGACGGCTTACCTTCAAGTTCGGCATCGGTCTGGTTCCCTGGCTCAGTGCTGGCCAAAAAGGTGTATCCCGGGGTCCCTGGTAGAGGGACATTGGGACCAAGTTGGACGTACTTTCGCACCAAACGTCTGTCACGCAGAGTGCAGGCGCATGTAGCGCTGGCAGGGAAGGTTAACGGGCGTACTGGCTGACAATCGTTTGTCTGTGTGTCAAACCGTTCTACAAGATCAAGAATGCCAGCCTCTGGCTCATCAGACCAACCTCCAATGATGTAGATATCATCGTTGACAACTGTGGATGAGAGATTGCTCTTGCGTCGAGTCATCTGGCCCACGATCTCCCATCTGTACTTGTCAGGTAGGGCAAGGTAGGATTGATGGACAGGTGACGGTTACAGTAGTCAAGGTGATAGCAATGTTGGTTACAAGAGTGGTGAGTAAGATTCGGCGTAAAGGATGACACGAATGATGATGGTGCCAGTGATTATGGCGATGATGAAAATATTGATGGTTATGGTTACGGTGCAATGCAAGCAAGATGTGAGGATCACAATTTGCGTATAAAGAGGAGGTTAATCGTTTGGGCCCAGAAGTCATTCATTGCATTATACCCTAATCAATTGACATTTTGTTTGAGTACTTTCCTGATCGTCAGGATGAAGTTTTTGCATATAGAGCAGAAGCTTCAAATATGACTCAACTCTGCATTTGTCAATAGTAACCTTGCGGTTTCGACATGGCCTGGATCTGAAATCGAATGGCCAGCGTCTAGTGGCAATACATTGTCACTTAGCCACTGCATCTAAATTGGTGAGGCGATTACGAAGTTCTTTGTGTCCTTGCGCATTGCATTTTTACAATTTAGCTCTCCTGTGATATAGTACATGTATCTTGCCGACCAAAAAAAGGCTTCAGAACCATCTGGTTTCTTAGTTGGAGGCATGAATGTAGATATTTCTCGAAGATTTATTACGTGAGTGCTATGCTCTAATCAGCTGTCATCATCGCAAGGTCATCTTTCTGTGTCAGATAAGGCCTCTTCACGAGTATTAAACTTATTTTTCGAATTAAGTATTGTTTTTGTGACTACCAGTAAATCAGTAATATGAGATGTATTCACCCAATTCG